CAACAACCCATCTCCCAAGACTCGGATCCACATGTTTTGGACAAGTCCTTTTAGAAGTTTCATAGCACCTCAAACCCAACCTGTTCAAGAATGAACTTGTTGCTTTACTACCCTGTTTCTGTCCCCACATCCTGAGTCCCTGGAAGGCTGGGGAGATAAATGTACCCACTTCTCCTTCTCCTGAATGGAAAAGGCATGAGTCTTTAGGAAAGCCCCCCCCCCCGACCCCAGTGCCAGTAATGATGGTTTAAAAAAAAAAAAGACCCTACAAAATTAGAATCTACAAAAGAACCTGCAAGCATTTGTGCACAAAGTTCAAATTCCATAAGGTAACCTTGCTCTGGCTCTTAGATTAGTGTTTTACCATTGCTAATGAACTGGTTGGGAAGGTCAAAACCATGTGCTCTACCAATAACTCTAGAGAAGTCATTTGAACACTATTGAATGGCTGGTTGAGGTTTTAAAAAAGTCACAATAACTATCAGCTATTAGTTTTAGTGGCCAATATACAATGGTTTAGTTCTTTGTCTGTACCTGAAGATAATTTAGTTTGTGTTTTTGAATAAAAAGGCATTTGTAGCTGGGTGTGGTGATGCACCCCTGGAATCCCAGCACTTCGTAGAGGTAGGAGGATCAGGAATTCAAGGTCATCTTCAGCCATATAACAAGGTTGAGGGCATCCTGGGCTATACCTAAGATTGTCTCAAAACACAGAACAAAATATGGCCTTTGTATAATCCTGAACAAAGAAATATGAAGAGGAATCTACAGCATGCTAAACTTCCTATAAAATAGGGTTGTGGTGAAAAAAAATACACATTTTATCCATCATTTCTTCAAAAGCAATGTCAGAAGAATATATCAGGAACAAGTGAGATTGTTGACTCATGTAGGGTGGATGGGCATGGAATAATTTGAAGGGTTAATATATATTTTTCTGTAATATACTGTCCTTTAGAACTTGCCCCAAATAATACCAACCAAGTAGCTGGGGGAAGTAAAACCAAATACAAATAATTTAAAATGCACCTACTTGCTGGATGTGTACACCTTTAATCCCAGCGCTGGGGAGGCAGAGGCAAGTAGATCTCTGTGAGATCAAGGCCAGCTTGGTCTACATAGCGAGCTGAGTTCTGGGCCAGCTGGGGCTACAGGGAGACCCTGTCTCAAAAAGGCTGAGTAATTTTAGAAAATGAATATTGTGTCAACTTTTCCTGGGGGGAGGAACAGACATCTGTTCATCCCAGATAAAGCACCCGTGACACACCAAAGAAATGACTCCACCCACGTCTAGCTTGGTGAGCCAGTTGGTTTAATTAGGGACACTTAGAGAACAAGAGTGAGTTATTTATGGGCTCATGGACAGCTTACCAGTGGCTATATCGCTGAAGAAAATGCTTCTTCCTGCAACCATTAATCCTCAGGGAGGGGCAGGGTCTCCTAAGGCTCTCACCTAGCAACAATTAACCACCAATATATCCTCAGATCGGGTTTTTTGAGCCCCTCTCTCAACAAGAGGGAGGGGTGGGCCTCATAGCTCTCCCTCAATGATGGGACTGTTAATGAAATCAGACTCGTGAGAGTTCAGTCTCACAAGTCTGAGCATTCAAGAGGGCAATGGCTCTTGAATCATGCATCCATCAATCTATCTATCATCTATCATCATCTCATCTATCATCTATCTCTCATCTATCATCAATCTACCATCTATCTATCACCTATCTCTATCGTTTTGTAGTATTAGAGGCTGAACCTGAGGCCTCATATATCAGAGTCAAGCACACAACCACTAGATACATTCCCAGCTCTCTTATTTATTATTTATTTATTATTTATT